AATGGCTGGAGCTGAGCTAATTTGAAACCAGAAACCAAGAGCTTCTTCCAGGTCTCCCATGCACCTGCAGAGTCCCAAGGCTTTGGGCATACTTTACTGTTTCCCAGGCCACAAGCAGGGTGCTGGATGGGAAGTGGAACAGCTGGAACCTGAACCAGTGCCCATTTGGGATCAGAGCTCCTGCAAGGTGAGCATTTAGCAACTACGCCATCATGCCCAGCCCTCTCCACTCTTACTGTCTCCCACTTCTTTTTTCCTCCTTTCTTCTCAGGCTCTTTCCTTTCTCTTGTACACATGCTGACATCAGCATGTATTAACATATGACACATTTTATTCAGAGAAAAAAAGGTCCAACTTATTGTTGCAGAAAGTGATGTCATTACATCTAATAAGAAACTGATTTTGACATCAATGAATGGAAGGATTCACAGTGAGATTTGGAAGAAACAACATAGAGAGGAAATTCTTCATAAAAAAGCTGAAGTCTTGAGGGAGAGATGATCCTAGTTTAATACAGCACTGACATGCACATAGAAAAGTATCTTAAAAATATGTGGAAAATGAAAATACAAGATAACATTCTTTGGGTGCAAAAATTTGTGAAATCCATTTACAGCTCTTTCATAATATGCAAGTGTAATTTTTGAACATCACTGCAAATGTCACTTAAATGGGCAGAACATTCTGCAGAGTGATACCAATGGAATCACACAATCAATTATGTAGACATAGTCACACAATATAAAATCATTCACATTGTGAGCAAATTCATCAAAGAATAGGACATATTAAAAGAATATCAAATTGCTAAGCAGTACTGGACATTTTTAAAATATATTTCCTTCATGTTTTTCACTATGTAAATGAATACTTTTGGGAAGGAATATGAATTTTCAAATATCACAACTAGTCAGTATAGAATCCTGGTGACCAAGTCCCTTGGTCAGTATTACTTTTGTACTGTCAGAAATTCCATCATTTGCTCACATTCTCCTTTGCACCTGTGGGGCAAGCTAGTAGTTAATATTTCTCTGCATTACTAATAACTCCTGAAGCATAACAGACACACCCAGAGATAATGACTCAGGGAGGAGACAGTGCTGTGGGACAGAGCTGCTCAGGAATGACTCTGCCCTAATTCTCAAAAGCTTTTTGCTTATATGTCTTCTTCATTCTGTATTTTGCAAGCCTAAGATTCCCATCTCACAGAAGAAGCTGGCCTAGAATTGGGAAACAGAGATGCAAACATCACTGGTTTAAGAATGGTCTGAGTGAACAAAGTTATTTTAATAAAATATAACTTTTTGAGTAATTAAAGGAGAGCTTTCCCTGAGAGGAGTGCACAGTAATTAGGAATATATGTATACATCATCTTGGGAACAATTCTTGTAGAGACAAATAATTACCTGAGGAAAGTTTTGTCAGACAGTATCACACATTACAAAAGCTGACCCAGACGTAATTACATCAATTGCATAGTGTAAAAGAGAAAAGAGCAAAAAGAGCCAATAAATTAAAATATGTCCCTTTGTGGCATAAATAAGACATTTTCTATAATTGGATTTCACCAAAGAAAAATTATCAAACAAAAATGTAAAACAAAAATCTAGATATTTGAAATACTATAAACATCTTACCCTCCCAATGAAGAAAAATGATTCAGAGATGGTATAACTTAAGTTGTAAGTAAGACTATGTAATAGTAAAACTCTAAATATTTCAAAATTATATCGGAAAGACAAACGTAATGTTCTCTCATTTGAATTTCTTTCTTAAGGGATTTCAAGGTTAAGGTGGTTCTTATGATCAGACTTCAAATACTGAGGAATCTAAGCACATTGCTTTTGCATTATTTTCATTAATTTATGATTTTCCATTTCTGGCATTTGTCTTCAAAAGTACCTTATCTCATTTGCAAACAGCAAAAGCACTAGATGTAAATGAGGCCTTCAGAGAAGCCTTCTGGGTCCTGCTTTTCTGGTTCCTAGCCCAGCCAGTGTGGTTTGATATCTGTACAGAATTTATAATGCTGATTACCAAATGAATTTTCCTGAGAAATTTAGAGACAAGGAATCTTACTTTATCCATTAAAATAAACATTACTCAAATATTTTATAATAAAAATATCACCTTTCTATTCCATGACAATTCATTCAGCTACCAATTAAGCTATCGATTAACACATTTTCAAACAACAGAATATTAATCCTGATGACTAACAGGCTTCCACTGACTGTGCAGGGTAGAGAGTAAGAAAGTCACTTGTCTTTTGAGCAAATGATAGCTGTGACAACCACGTTTAATCTTTAAAAGTCAATGGGTTCTGACAGGCTTTTATTTCATAGCATTTGCTCTTAAGTTTTAAAAACTTTCCATAGGACTTGGTCCAATTTCAGGATAAGTAATCCTATTTTTTTAAAAGAAGTCAATAAGTCTTTCCTGAATATTCAATCTTGCAAAAATCTTTAAGTGGATACACTGACACATGACGAAAGTTCCAAAATACTTAGGAAATGAACATTTCAGGCATATTAGCCAAACTGATGTCAATATATGTTGCATTTGAGTAAAATGAGACTATCACCCAATGATTTTGAAATAACAGCAATAAAGTTTTCTGCTATGATTTGTACTTAGCTGAAATACACTCACTGTACAAGCTTCAAAATTTCTCTGTGCTCAGTTTGAATGGAGGTAAAAAAAATGTATTTCTAAATGTATACCATTTTGATTTTAGACAAGAGAAGAAAAACAGTATATTGCTTTATGATATGAGCTTTAATTTCATAAGAATGTTAATTTTAGGCAGGAATGTCCAGCCTGTAATGACCAGGGAGAATGTAATAGTTTGTCTCATTAAATAATGAGTCATCATATTCAGAAGAATTCACCAAGGAACAACATTAATGTTCAGCTGCTAGTGAGGGACAGGCCCCAAATTTATATCTTTTAAATTGTGTCTCTTTTATATCACAGTAATGTAATTCCCTGGAGCAACAGTACAGGATGTTGAATATGGAAGTTGTTAGTTACTAAAGACAATCTGAATCTGCATGAACACGCCTTTTAAAAATTTTTCCTTTAACATAGTAGCAAAATTCATGTTGATTCCCTAAGTAGAATTTTTGTGGTTTTACAAAATGCAATATTAAAATTGTTCCCAAACAACAGGATAGTATTGTTTTGAATACTCACTTCAAAAAAACCAATTGAGTTTTTCTGAACACTCCACCAGATCTGATTGCTCAATTCATATAACTGAATCAAATTCATTGAATATTTGATTATCTGCTATGTCCTGACTCTAACTTTCCATCATTCTAAATATGTATTGATGTTTATTTGAAAGAGCGAGAAACAGCGAGAGAGACAGAGAGATGGATGAAAGGGGGGCCTTCTTTCCATCCACGGGTTCATTCTCCAACTGTTAAACCAAATCAAAGACAGGAGCCCTGGAACTTCCTCCAGTTCTCTTGCCTGGGTGACAGGAATTTGAGCAATTGATCCAACAAGGAATGTGGAAGTTTCAAACTAAATATTAACCTACTATACCCCCATACCCATTAAAAAAAAAAAAAGCTGAAAAAAAGTAGCACTTTAACATCTTGTTTAAGGAATTACAGGTAAAATACCAGGTCATTTTAGTTAAAAAAAAAAAAAAATTGGGGAGGGGGAAACCCTTTTAATTTTACAACACTTACATTTCACATTAGCCTCAGAGAGCTGCTTCTTCCTTAACACACTGTTAGGGTTTTAGGGGCCTGTCTTGCAAATGACCAGGTTACTCTAAAACCCAACGGTCCATATTTGTGTACTTCATAAAGCATACTTTCTAAAGCATCTGTGTACCTTATTGACACAGAGAATAGCCATGTCACTTAGGTGGACATCCAAAGACCTTTTCTTTTCTTTTCTTTTCTTTTTTTAAGACAGAGTTACAGAAAGCAGCAGAACATAAGTGAACCCACTGCTGGTTCACTCCAGACATGGCCACAGTGGCTGGATCTGAGCTAATCCACATCCAGAAGCCTTCTCCGAGTTTCCTGTGCAAAGGCAGGATCACAAAGACTTGGCCCTTTCTCAGCTGCTTTCCTAGGACATTAACAGGGAGTTGGAATGACGTGATGATGCAAGGAAAAGAACTGGCCCCTGAATGGGATGCTTGGTGCTGCAGACAGAAGATTAGGTCCCTGAAGGACCTTTTTATAAGTTGTTTAGATTCCCTAAATTTCTATGTCAGATGTCTCTGAAACTAAGATATTATTGATAATTATGAATTACATATTTTAAAATTGTAAGTTGATTTATGAAAAATTATTTTTATAATGTCTACCATGATGTTCAATATATACGTTTTAAAAATGCAGCAACTTTACTGAGTGACTGAACACATTTCTACAATCTTACCTACATCTAAAACAGGATTTGTGAGGTTTGTGCAGCAATATCAATAGCTGAAATAGAGCACTAAAACCCAATGCTAAGTGCTTGACAACATAACTAAATTTCACTTTACCATGTTAATGTTTTACTGTTTCCATAATAGGTGAAAGATAGTTAAGTAAAAGCATTTATTATGCAGCATCAGCAAGAACTATCAACAGCAAGAATTAGTACTTTGGCCTGCTGAGAAAACAGAAAATATTTACCAGATTCCAGAAGATATTCCTATTTCCTTTTAGAGACTGAGCAAAAAAACAAGCGCTTTACAGTTAGGAAAACATCTAATCATCTAATTCTCAGTACAGATTTCTTAGTTATTCAGGATAAGTTTCTTTGGTAATAAAGAGAAGAAAATCTCTACTTTTAGGGGGGACCTACCACCACTCCTTCAGATAAATGAAAACAATGGGAATTACCACATATCTATAACTATATTTCACTTAAATAGGCCTGACTGACATGAGAGATCTTCTTATTAATATACAAATCTGTTATATTACTCTCTGTACTTGTCTACTTATCTAGAAATTATAATTTAAAAATGGAAATGTCATTACCTTTCTTGCTTCTTTAATCATCTTCCGAATAGTTTCCTTTATTGTAAGTAGGTGTGCTCTTGGAGGATGAAAGAGAAGGTCAATATGAGTGACCCCTAGGAGTCCGGGCATCACATAAGGCCAGCCTAGCTCAAGATTCGGAGCTTCCACATCAGATTCAATAGGCCAGTACGTTCCTGATGATGAGGTATCATCGCAAGAATTATCAGTCCCGTGTGCTGTATTCTGTGCAACTTTCTGGACATTTTTCAAAATATAACTAATTTCTTCTTCAGCTAGAAAATCTGCAGCTCGTTCCTGGACAAGAAATTCTTGGTATGCTTCCAAGCCGTGCTCAATCAGTGCGTCGATGGCTAATCGATACCATTCCTTGTAGTGCGGCTCAATATAGTTGTCAGACTTACAGTCATCATTCAAGGAGGAAAGCATTGATGAGGTCTCCATGCTTGCAAGCAGTTGACAATGACACTTTCAAATGTCCATTCAAGTAGTCGTGAGAGGTAGCTGGATGTTTAAAGGAAAGAAATCAAGAAGAGTTATAATTCTTTAGTGAAACATTTCATCACACATGTCAACTATTATATTTATTCATTTCTATCACTAGAAGCCCAAAGTGATACTGATAGCACCATATCCCACACATCTAGTACAAATAAGCTAATTAGATTTCCCTTACTGAATGCTGTTTGAAATTCCTTTGTCAAGGTACCTCTGCATCCGGTTTCGCACCTGAAACTATATAGAACTTCTTTGACATCCAGAGTTTCTTAACTTTAATCTGGGACTAGGTATACTGGTATCCATCTCTATAAATCTTTCGAGTTATTGGTTTTAAAATAGAATTAGAATACAAACAATGGCTGGTCAGCCATTAATACAAGTATCTATTATGTGTTAGGCATATAAAAATACGCTGTGTGAAATGTAAACTGCACAAAACTTTAGAGAAATCCACACACAAAACTGTTGGCTACCACTTTGAATTAAATCATATATTACGGAAGGCCAAAATGAGTATGATGTATCGATACTCATTAGTTACTGTGTGTTTCCAATGCTCAAGAACAAAAGCCAAGCAGAGATCATTGGGAAATAATTCAGTATGGTTAAACCCTGTACTGGCAGGAGGCTCCAGCTGAACCTGGAGCTATGAGTAAGAATCTACAAAGATGGCAAGAAGAAATGTGTTCAATTCACATAAGGGGAAAAGGGCACAGAATAGAAATAAACAGGATACATTCATGAATCAGAAAAAAATATAACTAGGCATGCTGAAAAACATGTTCTTTTGATATGAGTGGGAAATAGCTGAATAGACAAATGGATCCAAGTACAAAGGGACCAGGAGATTTTTGTAATCTAGCACAACTTGTGTTTAACACAATTAGTCTAGCAGTAGCAGGGGAACGGGGGACAGACAAGTAGTTCAGGGGAGAGTTGTTCAGTGTTCAAAAACCAAGTGAAGAACATTAAAGGGACAGTTCAAAGAAACAACCTCTGAGATTTGGTGAATGTGCGGAAGATAAAGACATTTAAGCCTCAGATGGAAATCTACCTGTCCAAGTTCCCACTGTATCCTACACAATGATCACCAAATGTTACTCATTCATTTACTCTCTCCTACACTGCGGGAGACACTGCGCTGGAATCCATCGAATCAGTTAAGAGATTTTCCAGGCTTTCGAACCCTGATCTCCACTGTGTACATCCACACAAAGAACAACTCTACGAAGTGCTTCAAGCATCAGAAAGCTAACTTGCCAAGAACATCTTTTTCCATGATAATACCCTGGTTTAAACTTTTCCACGTAACTCATATTTTTCAGTCACAGACCTTTTATATTTCAAAGATGATTTGGGAGAAAAAAAAACCAGAAAGACTAGTATTTATCAATAGCTGACCTCAAAATGTGCCACAAGAGTCAGTAGTGAACAATACGCCATGGTCATAAAGGGACAGACAACACAGTCTCACACTTTACTGAGGAATAACATCCAAAGAGATCCAGGATCCCCTAGCAAGAACTGTGGAAAATGGAAGACAGAGAGGAAGATCTTCCGTCCGATGATTCACTCCGCCCATCCGAAGCCAGGACCCTCTTCAGGGTCTCCCACGCGGGTGCAGGTTCCCAAAGCTTTGGGCTGTCCTCGTCTGCTTTCCCAGGCCACAGGCAGGGAGCTGGAAGGGAAGCGGGGCTGCCGGGATTAGAACCGGCGCCCATATGGGATCCTGGGCGTGCAAGGCGAGGACCTTAACCACTGCGCCACCGCGCTGAGCCCTGCGCTCAGAATTTTACAGCGGAAGTCTAACAGTAGGGAAAGCCTAAAGATCACAGATGACATGACCAAAAGCAGGGTGCATTTTTTTTTCTGCTGCCTAGAGATCCCATACCTTGAGCCATATCTTAGCCCTACCCCTTTCTCATTCTTTCTCAGATATGTGCTACCTCTGCATGCAATCCTTTTTGTTTTCTTCTATTTTGCTGTGAGCCGACACAGCCCCAAGTCACCACTGGAAGCAGAGCAGATGCTTGAAGCATGTCCTGGGACGTCCAGTACTCTAAGATAAATCATTCCCTTCAAATTACACAACTTGAAGTATAGCATAGAAGGTAGATGAATGGCATCCAAGTATAAAGGATGAAAATGCTACCATTTATTCCTTTTTCAACATTCAGCAAAAAATTTTTTGTAAGTAACATCTCATTTTTGAAACGATTTATTTAATTTTGCTGTAAATACAGATATATAGAGAAGAGGAGAGAGAGAGGAATATCTTCCACTCACTGAATCACTTTCCAAGCAGCCCTAATGGTCGAAGCTGTGCCGATCCGAAGGCAGCAGCCAGGATCCTCTTCCACGTCTCCCACACAGGTGCAAGGTCCCAAGGCTTTGGGCCGTTTTCCTCTGCTTTCTCAGACCACAAACAGGGAGCTGGATGGGAAGAGGAGTTGCCGGGATTAGAACTGGCACCCATGTGGGATCCCGGTGCTAGCAAGGGGAGGACTTTAGCTACTAGACTATGGCATTAAGATCTCATTTCTTTATTTTTCTAAGATTTATTTATTTATTGGCAAGTCAGATATACAGAGAGGAGGAGAGACAGAGAGGAAGATCTTCCCTCTGATGATTCACTCCCCAAGTGAGCCCAACTGCCGCTGATCTGAAGCAACATCTCATTTCTTAAAAAGAAACAAAGTGTGCATTCACTTGAATCATTCAACTTGTTGAAACATAGATTCTTAATGTTAGGAGAGGTGCTAGAGTTAATAATTCTAGCCCACAAAGGGAAAAATCAGTTGTTTACACAAGAAACCATACTTATTATTCATAATTGTTAAAATAGCTATTTTTTAAAATTTTATGTTCTAATTGTTAGGACATGTAATGTTGAATGACTCTTACCCATTGGAAATTACAATCACAATGCTTTAAAATATTATTTTTGAGGATCATGTGTATTCAGCCAATTTAAAGCAATTTATTTTTTAAATGTATCTATTTGAAAGAAGTACAGCTAGGACTCCAAGTATTTCAAAATGGCATGTGGGTGCCCAAGCAGCATCTTAACCCTGTGCCCCATTCCTCCCCTGAAAACAAAGTAAATCAAGATGCTAGATGAAAACTCACTATAGAAGGAAAAAAATGTTGCAAATGAGAAAAAAGTGAAATATCTGATATAAAACCTTCGAAAATTCAATACTACCTGCCATACAGAAAAATACATGGTAGAAAAAATACAACTTCTGTAAGCAGCAAGATTTAAAGTGTTAGAACAAGAAATCTATTTTGTATTGTCTTGCAGGAAAAGTTATGTTCCAGCTACCAATTACAGATATAATTCATTTATCACACAATTTATAAATGAATATCTGTGAGAAAAAGATCTATGGATTTTAACAGCGACAACAAAGTGAGGTCAATTGCACAGCTGGATACAACATCAAAGAGCACCTGCATTTAGTTCAAAACTTATATTGCCCTTGGAAGAGACTCACTGAAAATCTAAAAGGTTTCAGAGAGGAAAAAATATGTAGGTATACCTTTCAACAAACAGCGCCATGGTATTACTTTATTAAAAGCTATAAAAAAAAAACTTTTGGAAAGCGTGTATTCTTTTAATACACACAAATAGAGTTAAACAAAACAACAAAAATCTCACTCTAATGTAAAAGTTCAGCAGACCGTGGGGCTTACCTACTAGCTAAGTTACTCATTGAAAAAAAATTACAAACTTCATTTGATATTGAATCTTTAGGGTCATTCATGGCTGGTTGAAATTACAAATTTAACTTGTATGAACGAAGAGTATATACAATTCAATTCATGGACTACTTCGGAAAACAGTCATGCAGTTTCACTTATAAAACTAATCGTAACTAACACATGATACAGCAACTGAAGACATAGGGCTTGTCACAGAAAACATACAAGAAAATATGTATCTGAGTGTTCACAGCAACTTTATTCATAACATTCCAAACTGGAAATCACCGAAATGCCCCAAGGAAGCGAATAGCAAACTGTGTTTGCCTACACAATACACACTACTCAGTGTGTACTAACAGATAGATGATATTGCCAACAACCTGGTTCAACCTCCAGACAAATATGCTGAGTGAGGACACAGGAACCCTCAAAGCTTACACGGTATGTGTTCAATCTTGAAATTATAGAATTATGAAAATGAGGATGGGAGCATGGCTAGCAGGAAAGAGAAAAACACACAGAAGCAAGGAGTAAAGTAAAGGTAGACGTGGCTACAAAAGAACAAAGTCTTCCATGGTGATGAAAATATGACAATATGCTGATTTAGATATAGTATTATAGTTTTACAAGATGGTAATGCTGGGAAAATCTGGGTAACCGATGAAAGGAGTTTTCTGTATGGCTTCGTTCGCCTCTGTGTATCTACCATTATCACAAAATACAAGCACTAATGAAAAGTCACACTAATAAGCAAATTCATGAGCCTTGGATAAGAAATAAGTGGCAATAGTCTTTACATTAATTGCACTATACTATGGAATGAATGGGGAACTATACTTCAGATGCTTAGCTGTTAACATTACATTTACTATGACCATCTTACATTTTCACAGTCTGTTACAGTGTGAATATAGAAATAAGTTTGGATGTAACAATCCATTCGTGATTCACAAAACAAGAATGCTTTTTTGTCGTACCATCAGTAAGATCATACAATTTGGAGCTACTAAATTTTGATCGCCTGTGATATGAAACAAACCACTAAACCTAGTCGCAATTGCTTACTGGTTCTGAGCTGAACAAACTCTTAGGAAAGATTTCTGAAATGATGCTGTTGGGAATATCTTTCAAAGAGAAATTACAACTTTCATAAAATCACAGAAAGAACCTGTGGCTATAATTAGCTAATATGTGAGTAGGTAACCCAAAATTCAGCCATTAAAAGGAAAAAGGACCAAAGGTGTTAATAATGCTATGGTTCCCCTGTGAACCCCTGTCTGAGGCTGCTTCTCTTT